CTGTGGTAACCTGCAGCGATGCCTCTGCTAATGTTTATTGAGAGGTTCAGTTGAGGAAGCTTGTTTGCGAATATTTTAGCGTAGAATATTCGTCAAATTGTTCGAAGTCTTTTGACTTTTCTAACCCAATCTTCTTGTGACTTGGAGTGGAGAAATCTGATTGGACCCAGTGCAGACAATGTTTTCTCTCATTTCAAATACATATACTATTATCTGCTGTACGTTAGCACGTGGCACTTTGGTTAAGGGTCTTTCCATTAGGTGTCCTCCACATCCACTGCCGCTTTTCTGCTTTTCAAACATGGCATTCATAACTCCGAGATAGATTGCTTCTTTGGGCAAAAGCTGGGATGGAAACGCTTACGTTTCGCTCTCCAATTCCAAAGCGGCCGATGAAACTGTCTGTCTTGGTTGTTTCCTTTATTACAGTGGCATTTAAATATCCTTGAACGATTGTGTACATGGTCTTTATGCACTACGACGCTTTCCAATTCCGCATAGAACTGTTCTCCTTTTTCGCCGTCCGTTTTCCGCCTTGGGCTCTCAACTTATATTATCTTTGGTGATCTTCTCTTGTCCAGCCACAAAGTAGCACTGTGAGATGAAATTGCATCTGAATACGAGCCTTGCAGCCCTCTTTTTTACAATGAATCCTATGTCGACTGTCTGAGCACGGTTTTCGTACAATTTTCCGAGGAATATTTGATCATCGTTGCTACATTGTGCGTAAAGTTCGGCGGTCTTCAGGTTTCACGCACGCCCTGAAGATATGCTTTGAACTTCTTGGCCTCGGTGATGTAAAGTCGACGATCGCGTCTCACGACAGACTTCTGGTGCTTTGCTAACTACGACTATCTTGATTATGTTCTTTTGCCGTTTGTTAGTCGCGTCCTGACCTTCACCGGGTCATAAGTAATCCCGGTTGTTGGCAAGTTGAAGCAGTAGCCTGCACTTACAATTCCGGTGTTATTCCTTACATAGCATATTTTTGTCAAGTTTCGTAGGTAGTTCTTTCAAAGTGTCAGCCTTCGTGAACTCTAGTCTTTTTCATCGGCATCCGTTAACCGGTCTATCGAGATCCACAAGGAAGGCGCTTGGTAAGCTCCTGGTCGCAGTAGGTCTCACGACCAGTGTCGGGCCTATAACCTCACCCCAGCGACGATGGGCCTCTATGGCATATCCAGCCTGCTCGTCATGCAGAGGCGTTTCTGTCATTTATGAAAGAAATCTTGTTGCAGTTAAATGTAAAATTGTGTCAATGAGTCAGACAGTGTTGCTTTTGAATGAGGTTCTGCAGTGTAGCAAAAATGATAGTGTTTCAGACTGATTAATGATTATTTTATTAACGAATTTGAATGAACATCTTACTGCTAAAGGCGATGAATAAGTTTTTATCTAAATTGTGCACGCACTAAAAAGGGGGCCAGTTTACTATCAGTAACGATGTAACTGAAAATTATCACGAAAGTACACAAGAGATATAAGGTGCATTAGCAACATCGATAATCGTTTGGAACGCGTTGCGTAGCCATGCAAACATGTAAGGTAAGTGCATATTTTTTAGAATGTGGGCAAAGAGTCATTTTCCAGGTGCATGTGCCAAATGATGGACTGAAACTTAACTTTACGAACGACTTTCAAGTAGAGTCAGGTGCCGACTGCGCACGGCGCTGCTACAACAGCGACAAGTGCCACGTGGCTG